AAAAACAATTCTTCTGACAAATAAGGAAAGATACGAGTTTAAAATATCGTTTTCCTAAGACTTTAACTGCAAATCTGTATAATGATCCTGTTGAAAATTATTCAAAAACTTTTAGAATTTTCGAAAAAATTACAGATCTGATCATATATGATGGCACACGTATGATAAACATCCATCGTTAAATAACAAAATAATTAATAATGAATGATGTTTTAGAAAAAAGAAAAAACTTCATCAAATAGAATTTTATATTCAATACCTTTGTCTTATCCACTGTTCTTTTGATGTTTGTTTTACAAAAAAATATGACTTATTACTTGAATTCTAAAAATCAAAAATAAAATAATGAAAGTCATTCTTTTGCAAAACAGATAATTTATTCATTATACATACAATCAATGTTGTATTATCATCTTCTGTAACTAAATTTTCATTATAAGGAAGAAAACCACTATACCATAACATAAATGTAGAAAAAAAGATTTTTATATCAGATACTGATTCTTTAATATATCCAAACCTATAAGAAAAATTAATTAATTTTTTTTTTAAATTTTTCATTAAATGTTTATTTATAACAAACCAAATATCATTAAATAGATCTTGTACAGCTCGATGAGCAATAAATTCTTTAGCATTAGCTTCAACAGCTAATTCTAACCATGTTGCATTGCCATAAGATGGAATTTGTCGTATAATTGATTTTAAACATGCTTGTGAATTTGCTTCATAAAGTTTTTCAAGTATTTGTACAGCTAAATCTTCAAATTTATCAGCCGATTGAATATAATTTTTATCATGTTTTGTATGAGCATAATGTTTATATATTAATGTTGCAACTAATGCAGCACCTAAGATATATATATCTATATATTGTTGTAATTAAAAAGAAAAATTTGATTTACTAATTTTATTCTTGCCACGTGACCAAAACAATAATGCTAAATCTTGTCGATCTTCTATTACCGACCAAAGAAAAAGTTCTCTATCAATATCCATATTAACACTATCGGTAATTGTCAGCCCTTTAATAAGAAAAAAAAACATTTTTGAATCATTTAAATATATGAATAATATATTCAATTCATCCACAGAATGATTTTGTTCTCTGTGCCTTTATTCTTTAGATATCGAAATCTTACTTGATTTCTTTTAGTATACAATTGTTGTTTACTTCAGATCGTGTGAGAATGTCAACTTCAAATTCTATACAAATAAAGGTCTTAATGAGACTAGTTCATTGAAAAAGTAGTAACCTTTCTTGTATCATCTATCCTTAAATATTGAACATTTAAAATTTTCATATATTTATATTTTCAAAAAGGAAACAAAAAAAAATAGCTAAAACTATAATAATCAACTAATCTAAA